TGGAGGGGGGGGGGTCTTGGGTTTTTGCGCGTACGAGGGATCGGCGGCAGTGCTTTGGCCACAACAAATCTGTACATATTGTGTAGTTTGCGTAACTGGTGCTCGTGCGCAAATGCGATGGTGCCTTTAGGTCCAAGGCCGGTGGCATGACTTCTACGGCCTGTCAAGCCGCTCTCCGCTCTGGTCGCCAGGTTGGCATGCTGTTGCTAGTAACCAGATTGATCTGTACATACTTAGACGAGGGCGGTTTGTTTTGAGGGTGGGCGTTTTGTCTGCTAGCTCTCGCAACTCTCTTGTACTCTCTCCAGCGATGAGGATTTTGCATGCTCGGGGTATCCCGCCTCTCAGGAAGTGCTAACTTTCGCCATATAGGGATCCCTGTTTTAGGGATGTTCACAAGAGCCGGGGCGGGGAAAAAGGGGGGACAGGGGTAGTGGCGGGGAGGCTCATTTTGTGTGTGCGTGCTTGTAGGAAATGCTGTACATGACAAATGAGTCGGGTGTGTACTTAATGGATCACCGCCGCGAGGGGGACAACAGTTGGAGGAGCATGTTTAGGCCTTGCTCGTCTTGTGAGTGGGTTCTGCGACGTGGATCGAGTAAATATGGGTTGGTTGACGTTCAGTCACAAGCTCTGCTGTGCTTTGAACCCCCCAGAGAAACGAGACAGAGAGGAACATATTATTCCGCTCCGGGACAAGTTGTTCCTTGGGGAGTGTAGGCTTCATGTCGGTATGGCCGGGCTCGGCTGTTTGTTACTTTCGTCCACCGCGTCTTGTAGCGCGATCGAGACGAAGACGTATGATGTAAATGCTGCTGTCGGAGCCAGGCTTATGTAGGTAAACCGCAAATGCCTGGGCGCGCATGAAAGGGTGTGTGTATGGGGGGAGGCAGTACAAGTCACCCTTTGTTTTCGGTTCCAGCTGTTGTTGTGGAATCGCTCTGACAGAATTGAACCGCCCTCTTGGTGGGAGTAATTACGGTGAGAATTAGGGGCTGGTTTTCAGCGTAGAGCAGCTCGGCTGTTGTCACTAAGACAGAGCTTAGCTGATGGGTCGGCGTGATGTACAAATTATAGACTCGCGGGTTGTGGTTCATAGATTTAAGTACTACTGGAGTTGAATCGTGCAAGTCCAAGTGGCGGCGTTGCGAAACCTAGCGTTGCCTACGGTTCTCGCGTGCTGCAGCTGCGTTGCTTGGCTCGGCGCCGATCCACTAGCGGTAGATTAGATGTAAATATTCATAGCGGTATAAGGTAAGGGCAATGGACACTTCTCCCTCCCCCCTGGTGAACAAAGAAATGTCGCGTTCGTTTGGTAGGCGGCCTGGTTTATGTACGCACGACTCGTGCGGTGGAAGTAACCGTAAAGTGTTGGCACCACCCGTTTTTTTTGTACGCTCTCGGCGATGCGATGGAACAAACGCTTAAGGTCACCGGTTTTCCGTCGTACCGGCGAAGACGCGGTGCCAGCGTTGTTGAAGGAAAGCCCGCGAGAACATTTTGCCTCGTGGTGAAGACCATTCGTCATGCCCAAGTGGCTCGTAGTTTCGTACGAAGAGGTTGGCAACGTGCGGAGGAATATTTGGACATCAAAAGGGATCCCCGAGAGCGCCGGTGGTACGTAGATATAAATACCTTGTTGGTGGTGGGTTCGGAGTGTGTGTGTGTGATGAGGTGGTCGTTAACCTTCGACCACCCCACCAAACGCCATATGTTTTTGGATGGATTTTGGACTGATTGGGGCGTGACGCGTTCTGAGAGAGAGAGAGAGAGAGAGAGAGAGAGAGAGAGAGAGAGCGTGATATTCAGCGAATACAGTAATTCAACGAGAACCACCCTAAGCATGAGTGCAGCAGCAGAGCTGCTGTAGCTGCTGCTGCTGTTGACGTATGGCGGTACCCAGCACAGTGCCCACCACCCGATACAGAATCGTTGGGGCGACACCGCCCCGCATCGGTTCCTTCTCCGTGGGAGCACCGCCTACCTAGCTAGCTAGGAGAAGCAGCCTGCTTCTTGCCACCGTGGCACGTGCGCAGCAACTCGTTTTTTGCTTTTGCTTGCCTCGATCAGCTGTTTGTTATTTCGTGTGCGACGGCCGATCTCGTAGGAAGAATAAATACGAACACAGAAAGACTACCCGTTCGAGATACAGTATACCCATAATCGAACGGGATGTGTTGGAGTCTTTCAGTGAGTGATCTATGTTGTTGTTGTTGTTGAGGGTGAAGGAACTATTCGTACTGAAGCCGTGGTAAAACATCTTGAATTTGTGCGTCCATATTTAATTCCACATTATTGGCCCGAAGGCGCTTCCTTTCCGTTACACCCACGACAGGGAGGGCAGGGGTAAAAGCCTCAAAAACTCAACAAGTCTTCCTGCTTGCGAAAAAAGTGCTATTCAATCGAATGCACTCAAACCATGCTGTCGTCGAGATACACTACATGGCCAAATCCCAACGACGACTCAAACTCATCACGAACATTGACACAGTTTTCTTTACTGACCCGTCAAAGTGTGCAATGGCCGTTGGTTTTCGGGCCGTTGGTTTTCGGGCGGCCAGGCCCACTCCCTACTCCCCACCGCCCCGCTCAGCCTCATCCCGGTTCTCACCTCTAGAAACTCTTGAAACAAATATCAAAGAAAAAATGAGAAAAATCTTCGTTGGAAGAGTAGAGCAAACCCGCCCGTCTTACCTAAACAACACGTGCAAAGAGGCGATCTAGTCACACCCACTCCTGCTGTCTGTCCTTTCGCAGAATATTCCTGTATCCCACCTTGTTCTCCCCGGTGTTTTTGTTGCGGGCACCATTTCTCTACGAATCCGCACCCAGGTCAGTGCACATATGTACCGTCTTACCGTCGTCAGGCAAGGAGGCTAATAACTCAACCGCGGACTATTCCTGGCATGGTGTAAAGACCCCACAGGAGAGGAGCGCCACCTACCCTCAATTGCCAAATATATGTACCGTCCACTCTTCCTCCCTCACAAAAATTCCACCCTATTCAGGGGACGAGAATCATCTTAAGCCCGCCCGTCAGTATCGTGTTCGTTCTACGATGATGATAGTAGTACACTGCCTACCACGAGGACGCTGGGTGGGGGGGGAGACTCGCCGGCACTACTTTACTTATAGTTTTCATTCGTACACCCATTGACGGACCCACTTGTTGGTAGCGGACCAGAAGACATCGCCGTACACCACAGAATATAGGGCCGAAGGCCCGACTGACTACTACATTTTAACGTTTTTACTACAGTAGTACAGCAGTGGTGTTACCAAGACACGATACTGCAAGCCCTTGAAAAAAAGGTTGCATTTAAAAACTGCTCAAAAGCACGTACAGTAGTACAAACACGCCCACTCCAGCCCCCGCTACCCTAACACGTACACCACATAATCGTTGCGTCGAAGCCATAAACAACCCCGACGTGGTATCTACTACGTGGAAAAGTGCGACATCTCAAGGATGCGTGCGCCCGATCGCAGCACACGAGTGACAACAATTATTTATCACGACTCCACAGTGCACCGTACATTTAGTGGGTTGATTTGTGGTCCTAAATTCTTCCCCGCAAGTACCTGCAGCAGGAGCAAAACAGATAAACTGCACGCCGAGAACGCGGGGCTTTAACGCACTCAGAAGTCAGACAACCTCTTCTTGATTGCTTCTGGTACGCGACGTTATTTTAGAGCATCGAGCCTCTCTCACCCGGAAAATATCTACTTGGTACAATTCTGTACACAGAAAACATGTCAAAACAGCAACAACTTTGGAACCCCCGTGCAAGCAACTCCCCTTCAAACAAGAGCGGTGCGTTCTCTCTCTAGCGAGTGACCTCTTGGGGCATATTCTTCATGCCCCCGACCGAAACCACAAAACTGGTACTCGGTTTAGCCGCAAGCTTCTCCAAAATGCCATGGCTGAAAATTTAAACAAATGCAACATGTGCGATAATCAAAGCTCGTGCGCGACGGTAAAACTGTTTGCCCTCATTTCAATCGCAATGAAGATATGTTTTTATCTACCAAAATTTTACATCCAGGGGTGAACACAAGTCAATTTTTCTGAGGGTGTGTGGCATGCCTCAGGCAACATCTATCCACAGGCAGTGTGATCACTACCGTTACCTCACTCGCAAGCCGACAGCCAGAAACCGACTAAAATCGCGAGCTAAAACTTAACGCGAGGCACGAATAGTCATGCTACAAACGACACGGAACACAAAAGAATTAGGAACGGTCAAACGCGAGCTCGATGGTACCACGACACAGAAAACGTTTGCAAAATACTTCATCAGCTCAATACGCCAGTACTGCAATGTCTCCACCCGCCTGATTGAACCGTTCTCACACGATGCGATCGGGTCCCGACCCAGAGTAGCAGGGCGGCGAGTTGGCGACGGCAAGCTGACTACCTGGGTTTCATTAACCGCTGATTAGGAACATCAAAAACTACTAAATAGCTGAAGGAGGCAACGCCTAGTGTCCAGCGATATTTCACAGACAATGTCGAACAAACACTTGGGTCGTACGCCCATTGGTCGAGGAGACCCGTCTGCGAGTACAATCATGCCTCTAAACGTGCCCAATATGGAGCTTTGTCACGGTTTAACTTACTCCGAATGGTGATAATCACTTCACTGTGGACATACATGTGTACTTCGATTCATGGCAGCCAACCTCTCGTCACGATGTACTTAGGCTTCTTCTTCTCCTTCTTCTCGGTGTCGGCGGGCGGGGCGGGCTTTTTCTCCTTTTTCTTCTTGTCGAAGTCTTTGGGCTTCTCCCGCGTGGTCTCGTTCTTGAAGGGGTTGTCGTAGTACTTCTTCCCGTTGTCGTCGGTGTACTCAGACCACTTGTCCTCCTTGCACTTGTCGCCGACAATCGCGACCGTCCCCGTGGACTGGCCGAACACCGGCATCCACGCCACTCCTCCTGCAGGCACGATGCTGCCCACTCCTCCCACAGGAGGCACGCCCTGCCCCGCAGGTGCGTTGCCCATCCCCGCAGGTACCGTTCCCATGGTGCATGGTACCGGGCAGTTCATCCCGCCGTGCGGCCACAATGGAAGGCCGTTCCCATCTTGAAGTTGGTACGTAACCCGCCCGGTGATCTTGTCCGCCCTACACAACAATACGCGGACGGGCAGGGATAAGGGGGAGTGGATGCGACAAGGTTTGGAGCACTCCAGGTGTGGTGACCCACATGCTTTTCGACCAGTACAGCCGACGCTGTACTTGATGAAACCACACCCAGACAGCTGAATTTTTGAAGTTGACAAGCAAATACAGTGTCTAAAGGGGATTTCATGCAGTTGCGCATGTCCAGGTCTATTCTCAAAATTTGTGGCATCCAGCTCTTCCGCTCGCCCTTCAACCTTCAAGGACATCGTCAGTAACGCCACACTCAACGCCGTTGCGGCGGATGGGTGCATGAGCTGGGGGGAGATAGAGGGAAGAGCGCGCGTGTCCTTACCAGCAAGGCCGGCCATACTGGTCCCTGGTCAACTCCCAAAACGTCGCGTCGAAGTAGGTCATCATATCTCTGGTCTGCCATCCAGGCGGTAGAAAGGACAGTGAACAGCGCCAAAACAGAGAACACTCAGCGAGAGGTGATCGGTGTTTGGTCGGGGGAAAGAGCTCCGAATTATGGCTCTCGTCCGCGCACCATGTAGCCTTGCAAATGGCCACAGGGGTTTTTCTCTATGATGAGCGGTTAGATCGCGCCGACAAGAACGAATTGTATCCGGCACGGCTTTTGATCAGTTTCACCCTTTATTGAAATGGATTATATTAGCGGAGCGAAGAGGAAGGGGAAAGAAGAGACAATAACCCACCTGAACACGATGCAACGTAAGGGAGTCGGCATGACAAGCGTCGAAATTTCGGGACATATAAAACACAATCAAGTCAAACACACCCTTAATCGTGTTGACGGCAAATGTAACGAACCTGGTCACCAAACAAAGCATCACACAGGACTCACTTCTCACCTCCTCTTTGTAGCTTCGTCGTTCTCAAGGGCAGTCTACGGCCCCTGGTACCTTGATCTGTTCTCTTTTTCTGATCAAGGCGGCAGCGAGACCGGATGCGAGCTTCGGCGTGCGTCCGGCGTGCGTCCGGTGATTGATGCGTTCGGGCTTCGGAAGTAATATACAGCTGTGTTCGTTCGTGGAGACGACACGAGATTTTCCAATTGTAAACTTACTATCAGGGGTGCTGATGTTCGTGTTCCTTGGAGCGGCTCGCAGCAGTGTGACACGTCGACGGGGCGAAAGTGGAATGAGATGCAGCGTGCGCTGCAAGCTAGAGCAGGTAGTTCTTCGGACCGATGCCGATGATCGTCGCTTTTTCCCGGTCGTCGGACACGAGTGGTGGTCTGCAAATCGAACCGTTTTTTTCTGCTGGACTTTCACGAGAACTGCAAGCTGTGCGCAATTGCAGCAACAACCGATGATTGTGGGCGGAGTGAACTCGAGCAAGTACATGTTGTACTGGTTGGCTATAGGCTGAAGATATCTCTCCAGTAGCTATTACGGGCCAAGTGCCACCGGAAAAGAGCAATCAGGGCGCTCCCCCCATGACGCACACTTCCTCTCTGTGCTTCTCCTCTCTTTCAAGTTTCAAGATCGGCGGTGGCGACCCTTCCGCATCAGCACATAGATCGACGTTTTTCTCGCACTCCTTTCTGCACAATGTATCTACCCTTTGTAGCAAAGGACGGCCGCACGGTGTGGAACAGCGACAATCTCTTTCGCCTTTCACTATACAACACTTAGGGAAAAGTAAATACACGCACAGAAAGACTACCCATCGAGAAGCTGTAGTTCGGTGTAACGCTGGGTGCGTGGCACATTGAAAATTGAACCGGCACCAGTTGCCCCGCATTTTTCCCTGTCTTTGTAAAAGCTCTCTGTGTCCCTGTGTTCCCTTGATTACCTCTCCTAATGCGATACGGTAAGGACCATACACCGCAGCAGCTGCTGGGGGTGGTATCAATAATGAGTGGTTTCCTAGTGCACACTTCAATATTCACCCATTAAACATACCCACAGTCGAACGGGATGTGGTGGAGTCTTTTCAGTGAGTGGAGGAAAACCGGCTGGGTACTGGACTTATTTCGAGTCTTTTAATTAAGTCTATACACTGATGATTTATATCAGTGATGCCAGCTGGTGCTAAGTACAAATGACGCTAGATATTTGCCGTGAAAAATGCGGCGTAATCTCTTGACGTCAATAGTCAATAGACTAAATGCCCAAATGTAAAAGAAATTGTTGAAAGCAAGCCGACGAATATCGTCGGCGTTGCTAGTCCCAAGCTTTATATTTTTATTTTAGTCGCGTGTTGCGCGTGTGCTGACACCACGAACGGGAAGGACCTTAATTAGCCGACACACTACGCAATAATGGTCGTGATGGACGCGGGTACGCAATAAAAAAACAACACATACATCCGATCCTCGGGAAACACGAAATGCAACGTCTGTCCCTTGTACACACGGTAGGCACTCTGTCTGTCCCTTTAACACGGTACGTACTGCTTTTGCCTACCACTCTCGTCCTCTCGTCCGCATCAACAACAAACAATGCAACTTGCCGCACAACAAGAGCCATCCCTGCAGGAAAAGCTGTACAAACAAGCAAAAAGCAGCTCCTGCTGCCGTAAGCTGCTGCTGTAGTACCATTTTTCAGCACGCACGAACAACAGATGCAGCACAGGCGAAGGAGCTGAGTCTGCCTGTCTGTGTCTGCGTCGGCGTGAGTAGGGGTGGGTGTGAGGTATCGATAGAGTAACGACAGGATGTTTTTTTATGTTTATTCTTCTTAATATGACACAACGAATCCATCTCCATCATAGAAAAGAGTCTGAGACAGATTAGCAATGAATTCATTGTGTATGGCATCTCGACGAGTATCGTCGCGTTGCCTGTCTGAAGCTTTCGATTTTTGCAGCGGGTAACAATCAAGTTCAAGGTAGACACCAAGAAGACGCCCGATGAGCACACAGGAACCGGGGGACCCCAAAAAACAAAGCATGAAAAACAAAAGAAAGAAAGAAGCGAGAACAAACGAGCCAGACGCGACAGGCTTCAGGGAGGAGGCAAAAGAGCGCATAGAAGAAATGCACCGTCGCCGCTCGCTCCGGACCGCTGGAAACTCTCACATAGCACTACATATGGAGCAAATATTAGGTAGGGCCCAAGTCCATTGCTTGGCATAACGCCCATCGCTTCACATGCAGCAGCCGGATGCACGGGTAGCCTCTTACTCAGCAAAAAGCGAAACGACTGCGGTTGGTTGACGTTCGATGTTGTTGGGACCCTACCGGCGAAAGGCGAGAGAGAGAGAAAGAGGGGTAGACAAAAATAAGAGAGCGGAGAGAAGACAAGGCATTGACTCTCTCGAGAAGAGAAGGCATTCACCCTCTCGAGAAGACACTCACTCTCGTCCCTCTGGCCCGCCGCAGGCTGTCAGACATGATGTCACGTTGTGTATCGAACGGCGATATCCGATGTCGGCTCAGCAACAGCAAACAAGCATAAGAACAAACAAATATAGTCAGTCGCCGTGTGCGAGCTGTGGACTATCTTGTTGTAGGAAGTGAGAACTAAAAAGAGCACGACTACATAGCACCACGGACGAACTATTATCGCAATACGCTTGCCGTCCGCCATAGATGCGCAACGCTGCACGAACGAGCTGTTGGTTATCATACCTCACTACGTAGTATCTAAGATTGTGCTGCCATCTACCTTACTTATCGCTCAAATTACGACTACGCAGCAGACTCAAGGCAAGGAAGCAACACGCGTGCCAATGCATACCACCCATGCATGCAGCAAAACAAAACAAGGCGGACCGTCTGTTGTTGTTTGTCTCTTCAACTGACTGTGCTGCCGACAACGACACTGGAAAAAAGTAGGAGACGCGCATCGCCTACGCGAGCAACGCGTGCAGCCCAAAACAACAGAGACGATAACCTTACGACCTTTCTTTTCAGCACATTCATTCCGAGCATATACTGCAGCAACCGCAAGTAAGTATGTGTACAGCAGCAGCCGCATGTTGTGTACAACAACGGTCACTCAGGAAGAAAATCACAACAACAAACAAACGCAAAAAAAAAAAGGTGGTGGCGCGCAGCACGCAGGACCCTCTTTCGCTTTGAACCGGCCATTCCCATGGCGATACAGACAAGGTACAGCAGTGAAGGCCGACTCGTGCCGGCCCCAGGAGGCGGAAGCTGCTCAAACTCGGGGACGGGTCATGATTTGCGATTGATTCCTCACCGAACGGATATCGAACGATGACACTACTGTTTCAACTAGCTTCAGAAAAGCTTCAAAATTAATTGTGAAACTTGCAGAGTCATAGACATGGCAAGTCAACACCCCGTTCCAAAGAATATCTGTCGTTGATTTTTATTGACTTGCGGACCTTTCGGGGCCAGTTTGTTTTAGCGTACCTCTTTAGGGTAAGATAGCCTGTGACCACAGGAATCGACCGCATCAAGTGTTGGATCAGTACGGACATATGAAGGTACTGGGTAGAGAGAGATCGGAACGGTTTTTAATGCGAAGACAACAACAACAACAACATTTAAAACTGAACTAATGGGTGGTGGGCGGATGACCGGCGGACCCCAAAAAGAAAGCTGAAAAATTTAATATAGACTATGTTAAAGAAAAAAAAGAAAAAAAAGAAGGGACGACAAAGACAAGTTAGCCAGACGCGACAGGCTTCAGGGAGGTGGCAAAAGAGAGCATACGAAAACCACCGTCGCCGCTCTGAACCGCTGGAAGCTGTCACATAGCATAGCATGCAGCAAACAGTATAGGGGCCATGCCCCCGTTGCTTCAAGTAAAGAGGCAGCGCCCATAGCCTCACATACAGCAGCCGGGTACGTACTACACAAATAGCCTCTTATTACTCAGCAAGAAGAAAAACGATTGCGGTTGACGTTCGATGTTGTTGGGACCCCAACGGCGATAATAGGCGAGAGAGAGACAGGTGCTACTACTACGTAGACCAACAGAAGAAAGCGTAGAGAAGGCATTAATTAACTCTCGAGACCCCAACCCTAACCCTAACCCTAACCCTAACCCTAACCGAAGACACTCACTCTCGTCCCTGTGGCCCACCGCAGGCTGTAACGAACGGCGACATCCGATGTGTGCTCAGCAACAACAAACGCAACTAACCAAATATAGTCGCCGTTTCCGAACTAACTGTGGAGACTCTCTTTCATCACTTGTGGTATGAAGTATGAAGTCACAACGAAATAGAAAATGATGACGAGAAGCACCACGGACGAACTATTTTCTCAATACGCTTGCCGTCGCGATAGACGCGCACCGTTCCACGAACGACCAGTTGTCAAACCTCACTACGCAAATAAGATTGTCCTGCCGTCTACCCCTTATCGCTCAAATTACGACTACGCAGCACACTAAAGGTAAGTAAGGCAGCAACACGCTTGCGATGCTTTACCACCCATCCATGCATGTAAGGAAACAAAAAAAAAACTATGGCGGACCGTCTGTTGTCTGTATCTTCAACCGTGCTGCCGTTGCTTTTCTTCATGGATATCGGCACAGAGAAAAAATGAGGAATGCGCATCTCCTACGCGAGCACGGCGTGCAGCCCAAGCGACAGAGACGATAACCTTATGACCTTTGCAGCATCTTCCGAGCATAACAGCAGCCACCGCATGTGTACAACGGTCACTCACTATAGACTAAGGAAGAAAATCACAAAATCACTGGTTATCGCCCCACAGCGAGCGATAGCTGCTCAAACGACTGTGAGAGGTCTTGAAATCGTCTCAGCTACCCAGAACTGCTGGTAGTTGCCGGAGATTTGCAGGTACGTACTGCTTTTGCCTACCACTCTCTTCCTCTCGTCCGCACATCAACAACAACAATAAATAAATGCTAATTTTCGCACCACAAAAGAGCCATGCAGAAAGCTGCAACAACAACAGAACAAAAGCAGCTCCTGCTGTATGTACACAGAATGTCCAGCTGTGTGCTGAGGTCGGTCAGCATCTCGAGAGAAGCGTGGCCAGCAAGCAAGGCTTGGCGCGGGACACGAGAGAAGCAAGCAAGGCTTGGGGCGGGCGGCGAAAAAAAGAAGACGACTCTATATAAAAAGATCTGTAAAAAAGAAGGCTTCGCGCGGGCGGCGAAAAAAATGAAGACGACTCTTATACAAAAAAAACTATAAAAAGAGGACCCTCAACGACAAGTAAGTCAACCAATCTGGTCGTTCCCAGGTGACGATGTAACGCAGATCTTCTTGTCGACGGAGAAACTGGTTATCGCCCCACAGCAAGCGATAGCTGCTCAAACGACTGTGAGAGGTCTTGAAATCGTCTCAGCTACCCAGAACTGCTGGTAGTTCTCGGAGGTTCGCAGTGTGGGCTGAGATCGGCCTTTTCGACCCGGTCGGGCAAGGGGTCCGCTATGCTACTGAAAACTCCACAGACGGAAAAAAAAGACTTTTGATCGACTGAGACCCAAGCTAGAGCTTGGGAATGCGGTCATACGTCCATCGTCAACAAGTCAACACCCAAAACTCTACCCGCATGTTTGTGGCTTCCCTCTCTAGTTTGTGCGGGTGCAATAGTTTCGTCAGCATCTACAGGTATTTGCTACAGCGACGACGAGGCTTTCGTTTGTTTTCTCAAGTTGGAAATTCGCGTTTGCACAACGCATACTTGAGTTGTTTTCACGCCCAGCAGCCCTACTGCAGCCTTCCTAGGCTGTTGGCGCCGTGCAATGCTGCTGTTGTTGCCGATAAACAAGTTGAGACAAATTTTCACATGTTGAGCAGCTGTTGAGAGTGCAACCACTGCTGCTGTAGCATCATAACTTTTCCTTTCGCCCTTCTCATTGTGCTAGACATTCCTCCGCCGCTAACAATCATCTTCGAACAGTAGGCGAGGTGCTTCGGTGATTGTAGGGAATTACCCCAGCCCCGGGGAGTTGTCTTTGCTGTCCCAGCACGGCCAAAGACCTTTTACATCGCTAGGCATTGAAACGAAAAGACAACAAAAAAATGATCAGCAGCAGGCAATCTCGGAGCCGTGCTCCAGAAATTCATGACACACCAAACAACTGCGTCGCTGCCTCCTGTCTCCTCTCGATTACAGCCAACTCTCGTTTATTCCTTATTCTCCTCTCGTCGTGTCAGGCCTGCCTCTCTCCAGCATGCCCGAGGCTCTCATTTTGAGCCTCTCCAATATCTCCTCTAAATACTCCCAGGGTACCCGGGCCCGTCTCCCTATGCACAGACACGACGGGACTCGGAGAAAACGCCGATTACACCCAGACACAAGATGACCAGCCAAACAAACGAAGAGGATTCCACCAATCGCGAATCGAACGAGAACCTACTTTCTGAAGCTCGCTCACCACCACAGAATCTCCCACCGAACAGAGTAGAAATTAGAATCCACGACATCTACATCTGGGTCTCACTCTCACAAAAGACACAGAACGGTGTACATACAAAAATAATCCGACCACCACAAACGTCATGTCGCGCTGTCAAGCTGGATTGCCCCCACGTGTGGCCCTCCCCAACCTCTCACGTGACGGGTCTTATACGTCGGTCGCTGACAAGGAGGCTTACCACAATACAAAAAACTGTAGTGAGCTTTGTTTCCTCTTTCCTCCCATTTAGTCCTTGCTACTGCTTGTCACCCGGGAGATCACTCGACAACAACGAGTACCCCCCCCCTAGCCCGCCACCCCCCCCGGAAAACACTGGACCACCTTTTCCCGCCCAGCGCGACACGCCCACAACCCCCCCCCCGGCGAAGACATTATGAGGTACTCCTCGAGGTTCGTTTGCTACCCCTCCAACGCCCCGCTTTATGACATCGTGTTGAGGTACGCCTCGAGAGTTTCGTCCGACTCCCACTCGGGCTGGCCGTAGCCTTCGTCCCCGTTCCCCTTGGCAACGAACGCCTCCGCGCCGCCCTTGGCGATTGCGTTGGCTTCCCTCTTCTCGCGCTCGTCCGCCGCGGCGGCGCCCGCAAGCACCAGTGGCGGAGGCGCGAATCGCTTTGCAGCCTCCTGCTCGCGCTCCCTTCTTCGCATCTGATTGGGGGTGGGAGCGGGGGGAAGGGGGATGGCCGCAAACGGTTTACTTGCGGTTGTTGGTCGAAAACCCGCCTCCGACAGTATCGGGTGTGACCATTAAGCGGCCAGTGATCAAACAAGCTATGCTACAACCCGTACTAAATGGAGTGCTCGTACCGCGATACCAACGCCAATACCTCGTGCGGCAACGGGTTGAACGGAGGGCATGGGCTAGACAAGTGCAGGAGCTTCGGTGGGGGTGGGGGGGGCGCACACAACATTAAGGCCGGGAAGCACCCACTATAGTAACATACCCGACCACCAAGGCCTGAATTGAGGGATCTCCAATGCTAGAAGGCCCTGCAGTCTAGACAGCGGTTGACGAAAACGTTGTGAGTCATACCACACCGCTCAACAAACCAAGACGCCAGCCCTCGGAATCTGAAACCTGCAGAGGCTCAATCCACTCCGACCGGCCCCAGTTACCAAGGACCCCGCCTCCCGTCGACCAGCGGCCACCCTCTGAATGAAACAGCACACAACACACCAACTTCTTCAGTCCTCTTCACACAGTGCTGGTCTCCCTGCTCACCTCAACGTACTCCGGCGTCACCGCCTCTGCGGCCAGCTTGAGAGCGGCCAGATTGTTGGGCACCTCATTCGAAATCTGCCACTCCAACGCGAGCACTGGCACAGGGCCCTTGGGCCTGATGTGCACCATGTAGAACAGCTTGGTCGTGTACTGGTACTCTGGCCCCTGAGCTGTGTTGAATTGCTGCTCGTTTCGCAAAACGCGCGAGGCACCAAGAGAGAGAGAGAGAGGTGTCGGGATAGTGATGGTGTCGCCCCGCGACAGAGGGGAGCAGAGTGCATGCGCACGAGACACATCTCGCGGGTGTTGAACCACTCACACACATACTTCTATACCGTAGTCGTGCAGCCGCGCTGCCTTGGCTCGTCTTGGATAGCATCAACCCTTATTCACCGTTTCGAGTGGTTCGAGGCTAACGTTCCCCCGTGGGGCAAACTGTTCCGAAAAATTTGGTTCGGGAACATGTCTCCGATGCATATCAACACAAAACACAAACACACACGACGCGCCGCTGACAATCGGCACAAACGCTCCGCCCCTCCCCAATAGACGCGCACACACGCCTTACACCTCACCACAAACACACACACCTTGCGGCTGTTGAACTGCATTCGCCACTCCCCGTCGAATTCATTGAACATTCGCGAGTCGAGCAACCCGAACGTCAATTTCCGCTGCGCCATCCTATTCTCCGGGTCACCTGTTCCGGAAAAAAAAAGAGCATGAAAACTAAATGCAGGCAAGACAAGGGTGTGGCTTGGGAACCGCCACCAGGACCTTCCTTTTTCCGACACCACGACACCAAGGATCCCTCCTTTCGAACGATGAAGACACGGCCCATCGCACGCCTATTTCTATAATAAAATCACCTTGTAGAAACACCGCGCTAAACGAGGTATCAACGCGCAAAAGGAGATGACGGTCGCGAAGCAGGCACCGACGGTCACTTTGTGGGCCGACTGATCCGGGGCGACAAACGAAAGGCGCGTGAGCCCAACCCGCACAAACGGTGTGTGAGTCGACAAAAACGCATGTCTGAAGCGGGGAGAACGAAACGCAACGTAATACGCGGCGGACTCTCTCTTTAATTCCTCCCAAAAAAGGCAGAAACCACACATCAGCCGACGCCGATATATTGACATCCAACGACAACCGGAACAGCAAAGCATGGCATCCACAAAAACGCTATTCAGTGAGGAGAGTAAGGAAATCTCGCCCTCTATGAACCATAGCCCTGGCCCTTACCGAAGTGTTCCTCCATGAACATCTCCACGGACGCCCTGAAGTCGAACCCCACGATCTTTTGGGCCCCTTCTTGCCACAGCCGGATCCCGCCGTCGTTGCTGGGCCTCACCTTGCTCTGGGTCAGGTTTGGCACGTACTTCGCCAGCCGGTCGTAGTCTGTCAAGGTCAACCAGACGTCCTGGAGATTCCAGTCGCCAAGGGGGCTTGGGCGTTACAAAGGTGGCAATAAACGCCGTGGGCTATTAGGAGGCCTCAAGACCTTGGTAGCTTATGTTGCAGCATCGTGTGGCCCGACAGAAACAAACGCGGGCCAGTCGACGACGCTGGGCAGCCAGTCGCGAAGAGAAAGGGCGGTTGCTGAAAGCGCCGACCCATCACGCCAAGATCGGCAGCACTCTTCCGACGGTGAACTTGAACAGACGGTGAACTTGAACAAGACCACGCCCGACCCACTTACTGCCATTCGCGAAGTAGTCTTCGGAGGACAACAAGCGCCCATTCCAACGGGAATAATCGTACGCAAAAAAAAACAGTGCTACAGTACAGGAGGGCCGTGTGCTTGCTAGCTGCGCGCGCAAAGTCCAACGCCTCGCACGGCAAGGTGGCGGCATAGGGAAGCACTGCATCATGCTCATCGCCGTAGCAAGAAGCGTCCAAAGTTTTAACGGCGGTCGGCGGTTGTGCTGGCAATCGAACTATTGCGGGAGAATACCCATGGTCCGGTGTCATAAAAAAAAAGCTCTTTCGCCCTGGGTAACACTTTACGACACTTTTGATCTATTGGCTACCGCCGAAGCTACAAAAAACAGTCGGCGGCCGAGCACGAGGCCCGATCCAGACCCGCCAAAACGTCCACCCAAGGACAGACACTCATTTGCACTATTTTAGTACGCAAGGCTTACCTCAATCGGGCGATTGACAACGATACTGCCTGAGATTCGCCTCGAGTTCCTACTCGTGCGCTCGATGTTCACTGTCACCTGCCAAATGGCACAGGCGGTATCGCGCGTGAGTGCGGGGGGCACAAGAGGAGAAAAAAGTACACACCCATCACGTGTGGCACGCACAATGAGTGTGGTCTGGGATTATCACCACCATGACGTGGTCCCTGTCTATATGGTACCTCGTACATGTGTTATACCTACACACTATCCTTGGGCGGTGTTGTTTCATCGCGGGGGATCACATACTGCGCGCGGCACGGCGCGTTGCCATGGACCGCTATGCCTGTGTTTCGTATTTCCACGCAAGACTATCGGCCCTTCGCACGCCTCTCGATTCCATCGTCGTGTGGACAAGCACGAAAACAACCTTCCGTTGCCAAGTCACGTATCAGCCTACAGCAGCTTACATCAGAGTACCGTAACTTGAACTCACACCGCTACGGGCTAAAACTTCAATTCCAACACAAATGGACGGAAGACGTGGGTCGGGCTGTCCGCCCAGGACAGAAAAAGTTGATGGTAACGCTAAGTACACCGGCAATCCTGCCACGTCTACGGGCACACACCTCGTTGCCTTGTGTTCGTCTTCCACCCGACCAAAGCATCTGCAACCGGCTTGCTCCGCCGTCGCGGGCGTTGCTGGTGCTGCCAAGCGCTGGGTGAGGTAATGGTCTTCTAAGGTCTGACCGCGCCAACGCTTTGACCTTGATGCCATGGGTGTAAGAGGGGTGAAGGTCGGGAGACGCACGAAAAAGGTGGGGGGCGTGGGTGGCGATGAGAGAAGAGGCAACAAAAGTGCGGCTGAACCGGGCGGCGGGCATGATGAGGTGTCGGGTGCTGGACACAGGACAACAACCACATAATAACCACGTTTTCCACACTACTGAGAACTTCACTACCGCTGTAGTTGCACCACTTCGTGCGAAACCCAGGAGAACCCTCGTGCACCAGCAACGTAGCTGCCAACGTGGATCAAAGGGCCAATCACCGTGCTCGGCGGACGTCCCACGCAGCGGTTAGAGGTTGAACATGCTGTGGACGATGTTCAACCAGACTGACTGCTGCTGATTCACAACTTCACAACTTCACGAGAGGGGCTACTGTACCGTAACGAGAAAGAGCCTCGCGGAAAACCTTTTTCTCCGCTCTCGACTTCGGCCCTCAGGAAACCCACACAGCCAGCACCTCTCGCTACCCCCCTCGCACCTGCTCGTTGCCGCACTCGCCGCAGAAGCTCCCGGTAGCTGCGGGGGTACGTACCACGAACGCGGTAGTACAGAATGCCGGCAGGCAACTCAGCAAGAGGGACGTCACAAACACTTTGGTTCCTGCCGGATGTTCTCTCCTCCTCCGCGCGCGTTGACCGAGTGGGACAGACATTTCTGCCTGGTTTCCTTTCCTTGCAGCAGTAGTTGCACCGAGCGCTTCGTCGTCGTTGAGACCGCCCGTCCTCGAAGGTGTCCTTCCAACTTACACCCAACAGGCTTTTCGATCGGGGCGATGACAGGGGGACGATCGTAAGGCTTCTCTGTATGTAGCGAAGAACGTGTACGTGTCCACGGGTAGCAAGTTGATGTCGCTCGTCCTTGGCAATCTAGTCAAGGGAGGCCAAGTGCACAGGTTTGATCTCAAGGCCGACGGGATGATGGATTGAAGCCTCGGTTCTCCTCACTTCCTCTCCTTGTGTGCGACCAGTAGCAGAGAAGCCGAGCGCGCGTCGGTTGCTACCTGATAGACAGGGACTGGGACCTTGGGGACTGACGATCGGGGGGCCTGCAAATGGGGTGCGGCAACAGAAGGCCTCCTCGACGGACCCTGGAAAACCCTAGGGGGACGGCAGACCGCAAGAGGACCAGCGCAGCACACGGTAGCACTGGGAGACGACAAGGACAGCGATCCAGAGGACAGCCGGGTTGTGTCAGGAACACCAGCACACAAGCATGACTTCCAGATTAGCTGCGTGGCAGTGCGGACTAGTATTCCTGGTGGCGTGCTTCCCGCGACAGGCCAGCTCGTTCCTCTTCTGCCCCACCGTACCAAGTGCCGCCTCTCGACCAGGTAGACGTACCACCCGTGACATGATAGCTTCACCTTCTCGCTGACAACGTGCTGCGCTCGTTCGCACGCCGCTTGCATGTACCAGCAACGTGAAAAACCTTGCTGTGGTACATCTGCTGCTGCAGCACGGCTGTGTTGGTGTGAACAATAATGGACGGCAAGTTGAACTTTGTACGTTGCTGTGCAGCAGCATGTACCGCACAAACGCATTGCCCGGTGCATGTTTCACAGCTCCACACGAGAGGGCGAGTGAACAGCACCGACACCAAAGCAGCCCATATATACATATATGTTTGACGTTGCACATGCGAACTGCGCTACTTTGGGGACACACAGACCCGGTTTCTGATCGCACGAACGGTGGTGACCGTTCAGTCTGTCTCATGGACGTGCAGTGACAACCGTTGTCGATGTGTTTTGCTCTTGCTCCTCTCTCACACAAGTTCATCACTTGCTGTAGTTCCTCGGCGAATTAGCACATGAAAATGATTGTGCAGTGCTTTTAGTCTTGTAGTCGAGAGCAAGACAAAGTCGCCGCGGTGTGGCATACGCATATAACATCGGTACAAAGGCAAGAGCTGTTCAAACTCCGTTACCTCACATTTTCCGGCGGTCGTGCACTTCGCGTGCATTCCTTGACGGCACCGCTGTACGGGCAGGCCGATGCCTTGCGCCCACCATATCGAATGGTTCTCGGGTGAGAGGCTGACCCTCATTCATCACACTCACAAACACACTGTACTTCCAACGCCAAACGTCGACGGTAACACCTCACACCGATTTCGTTCGGTTGACAAATGGCTGGACACCTGAGTTTCGGTCATTTACACCACTGCTGCCGCCTTTGCCTGCATGTATGCGTACGTGCACGCGCCCTTTCCGCCCAGCCCGAACATCGACCACCACTGCCGCCGCACCTGAGGGTGATGCCTCGGCCCAGGAGGGCACCACGGCCACCCCGCCGCCGTCTCTCGACCGTTCCGCGCCCCTCTCCTTCATCGCCAAGAACAACGTCAACCTTGACGGGGAATTCCTCTCGAACAGGGAGGGAGAGCCCACGGCGGAGGAGCTCTCGAACGAGAACCTCATCAAGATCGTGGCCGAAAAGAGCACGGACGAGGAGGTCAATGTCGTCGTGTGGAAATGCTTGGGTGAGAGCTGGGATCTGATGCCGAAAGGAGGAGGTGCAACATGAACTAACTTTTCAGACTAGCCAAGCACATGGCCCCGTGTATGCGTCCGTAGTTCGCATCCACTACGGCAAACCCGGAAAGCAGAGCGCCTGGCTGTCAGAAGCCAGGCAGGCGTTCCCCGGTGGGTCAATCCGAAGAGATACTGCACCCCGAGAACCGTTTGCATGAAAAACATTGAGGACATTCTCATACCTCCGGCGGGTTATATGGCTTTGACTTACTGCTTGCCGTTATCGATTGCCGTGTTGCAATGGCCAGGCATCCTTCGAGACACGATGCCTTCCCTGCGTTCCCGTTCTGCCTGTTGCGCCTTTCGGCAGTGCCAGCCACCACGGCGATGCCAGCCACCATGTTGTGAACTTCACCCAACGTTTCTCTGGGAGTACATGGACATGCGCGTTTCGCACTATCATGCTCGGATGGGTTATTTTTCATCACAACTAAACCATCGCTTCTCGCTCGTGGGGTGTTGTGCGGGCGGCCTTTCCTCTGCCCAGGCTACCGGTACGACGCTGGCGAGAACGCGTGGAAGGCCGTAAAGGTGTTTCCTCGATGGGAGGCCATGTACCCGGAACCCCCCGATCTCTTGGGGGTAACACGCGTGTACGAGAAGAGCGTCGACAAGCCCGTCCTGAAGGCCGTGCAGGTGTGGTGTGTCCTCCTTGAAGACGGCTATATCGCTAGTTAGTGTTAAAACAGCCCACTGGCTACGCCCATATGGACTATGATTCGACAACGCTGTTTCCCTCGTTGATGCCACTTCCTACATCTGAGAACGTTATTGTCGCAGTGAACACGTTTTTCATCTGCTGTGCCCCACGCGTGTTGAACACGTTTGCAGCTGTGCCCCACGCAGGAGGGTGGGTCGCCTTGAGTGTTTCATGTTTTGATATTGGGCATGTAGTTCACGTACCACCGCACCTTGTGCTTGCGTGAAATGATAGACATGTGCCCGAGGTTTTATTCACACGACATCGTAACAAAGTACGAATATTTTGCCCTCCAGACATGGTGGGCAGACTAAGTATGCCTCATACCTTAATATAGCACGCACGGAAAACAAGAGGCAAGAGATACTTCCCGAGGAAAAAGTCGATATGCCTGGACACGAGCGTGATTGAACACGTCAACCTTTCTCATAAAAGTCTGAAGGAATCTATCGGCGTGTGTGTCCATGCATTGCTGGTCCTAGCTGCCCGCTTTGAAAACCCACACCACGCCTCGCGGGAGGTGATGCGGTGCCACTCTACCTTGTGGAGGCAAGACGCACAAGTTTTATTGCCGCACCGGTGTGATTTTGAATCAAACACAATCTCGGCACCACCGGGTGATGGTGCGTGAAGTCGCGAGAAACGAGGTGTCACGACGGTTTATTTGTTATTCCTGCCTCCCTGGCAGCCTTTCAAGGGCTCTCGTCTTCTCTCATACAATCGAGGCTCGTTGAACACGCGCATGAGCGTGTTCTCAACGAGATGTATGCGTCTGCTGGCCTCTCGTGCGCTCGCCTCGATATCCCCCGTTGCCGCTGCGTGCTTCTGCTTATTGAAGGCCCTGATCAGGGCCATCCCTTCGGAGCACAAGCGTTGCATTGTGGAACAGCTTAGGCCGATAGGATTTACAGGCCTGACGCTGGACGAGCTAACTCCGAACAGAACGCGCAGGGCCCAGGTGAGACCTTTTTTGTTTTTTCGAAACGGGTGCCTGAAGTTGCAGCTCAATGTAGGGTACCTGTAGAGTTTTCGCGAGTGCTTGGCTCATGGGTTCTACAGATTGTGCGCGATTCGACTTCAACGAAGGCGTTGCGAGCCAATCAGCATGTGTCAAATGGAAATTGGGCTACGCTGCAGTGATGCGTCGTGTACGTGGATGGCTTTTACCCACCAGAACATGCCGTAGACCTTCAAGGCATTTTGCAGTATGGACTCTTCCTTGTCGCATGTTCCGGTACTGCTTGTTTTTTGAAGGACCACTTGCAGTCTGCACTTCGGTAGCCGTGCCAACCCTTCCCGCAAGTTCTGGCGCTATTCAGTCCAAACCTCTTGCGATTTCTATTCCTCATCTTTTTCGACCCTGTTGACATCACCGGGGGAGATTCAACGTTTAGAATCAAGCATTCTCTTCTCGCGTAGATATTTCGAAAGTATCGTTTCCCCCCGTTGGTTTCAAGTCGATATTCCCCATACCAGGCCCCTGAGTGCTAGCCCCCCCTGTCTCTGTCGCTGTCGTCGAGACCAACCTTCGCTGACAGATACCTCGCACGCCGCGTTGGTTGCCGTTCTCTTCTTGCCCGCCATCTGCTCTCCGGTACATCTCCCTTCCTCTCCCCGCCGTCCCAAAAGGTGACCAACTTTCTGCTGTATTTCCGAGATCAACTTTGGGGTGTTCCCTTGGAAGAGGTCGAGCGACGTAGAGTGGAGAGGATCGAAGCGGCCAAACGGGAGGCGGAGGCTGAAAAAGAAGCTGGAGCGTGACCCTCGACAAACGAGGGGCTATGACCGAGCTTCTGCTGTATTTGACCATGGACAGATACACCACCGCTGCGTAGGCGATGCTGCGGGCAATGAGATGGCCGTTGCTTCGAGTACCGTCGCACTCGGTACTGTAGGGCTTGGGTTGCCGTCGTTCCAAGGGCGAGCTGCATGCTGAATTCACGCCTCGTGCTTCGATACCGAGAACCATGACTGGGTGTACGAGGCCTTTTCGAAAGATTGGTGTGTACGCAACACGCGTGTGGTGGATACGTTCCTACAAGGTCCAGATGAGCGATATTGACTTCCACCTAGGGGGTAGAGCGAGTTCAGGATACTCCCGAGGTTCGAGTTCAGGATATTCCAGCGGTGCGGCCGACCTAACAGGCAGGTAGAGGAACCGAATTGCTTCGTGGCAGCCAGCCACCGTCCGTTGTGGGCCCAGCCACCGTTCTTGGGTGTGGCCTTGATTTCTTGATTTGACAGTTTGTTCGCCTTGGAGGAGAAAGAAACTGGCTTGCTTGCTCTCGAAGTTCCATGGGTTAAGACGGTGGAAGAGAATCGGATCGAAAGCGCATGTTGCAAACAGTCGCTCGCCCAAACCACAAAAATGATTTCGAGATCACTTTCACCAATGGCGACGACGAGGCCAACACGAAAGACAATTTAGGAGGTTCCATGACGCCTGGAAAAAAAGAAGGAAAAAAAAAAACATCCTCGAGCAGAGAATCGAACGGGGACTCATTCGGCTATGGATCAACCCGTCCAGCCCTTGGGGAACTGTCACGTTGGCTGCTACGGACATGTATCTTCGATATCATGTTGCCTACAATATAACACTCCGGGTTTGAATGTGCGGCGCAACACGCTACGTTTTGCGCGTACCAACAGATATATATCTTGGCACGCCAAGGTCGCGGTGATTCGGTGCGGTGCTACTGTTGTCTTTCAGGAAAGGGTGGGCAACGAGTGTGTCGAGATCTTAGCCTCGATATAGCGGCGCCGGGAAAGCGTTGCTGGAGAAAGCAGATGAACATGCCCACTTCGCCTCGCAAGACATTATCGCGGATCTCAAGCATACGTTCCCCGTTCCCCGTGTTTTGTGATGTCATAATGGTTAGGGGTGTGCTGTGATCTGTGGTGGGAAATCCTGCGTATAGTGTTGGGTTGCACTCGGCGAACATCCTGGCATGACCGCGTATCTATTACCTTTTAGTTACAAAGTACTACAAACATCAGAGAAGGACTACTACCCCCGTAACGGGACTTGGTTTAGGGATAGATCGGTGGGTGCGGTTCTTCGTATTTTCGTATTTTCCGGTTTCGTGTGCGCATCTTCGCGTGTGAAGGATGCCTTGAAAATGGTAGAAGACAAATGGGGTTCTTGCGCACTACAATCCACACCCAATTGCTGTGTACTGCTGTTATTCTAGGGAACTTTGTTGCTCGTCGCACTGCCGTCGACTGTCGTGACGCCTGAATACCTCTCCACAGAAGAGTAGTATCAAACTCTATGAAAAACTCCAATAGTATTGTTCGCGAGGTCGCTGTATGCATACGGACGACTTCCATCAGCAGTACGATAGAGAGAACGGGTAGTGTCTGCCCTCTTTTGACACATAATTGTAAACATCCTTCTTCCCTCCGACGAGAGAAGAAGCAGACCAACCAGACGCAGCATATACGCAGCCGCCCCACGCCCTCATCCAACCCGTGCACGCGCCAGTCCCCATCTTTCTGTGGTTGTCGGTTACTTTTCCAGATGTCGGTTGAGTGCCTTCATCACTTCGAGCTGCTCGGGTTCGGTGGGAAACCGGTGCGTTGCACCCTCCACGACAACGAGCTCGTTGTTGAGCAGCACCTTGTCGAACTCGTAAGCATCGGCTACCGGGATGGTCTCATCTTCGGTGCCGTGAATGGTCAGGACGTTCGACCGCCTGCAATGAATGTTGATGACGAGAGTCCACGACGACGAAGGCCATAAAAAGAGTGCGCACAGAGATTGCCGGGGAAGTTTACGATGAGGGCAGGGCAGTATGTTGTCTTGGGATGACCGAGAGTAGGGAGAAAAAGAGGCTGCCCGTATGCAACATATCTAGGCTGCCCAAGCTCGGTATGTCTGTCAGGTCAAATGTGGATACTGTGAACACCGTCAGTCGCACATAGACACTCACGAGATCGCTGCGGCCGTCTTCTTCATGTCGAGCGCGGCGAGCTCCTCAAAATCGCTTTTGTTGACGGTGAAATGTTTCCCCTGCAAGGGGGACGGGGGGAGGGAGATGACAACGTTGAAACCATAGAAAGAGCCCCATCGACCTCGTACAACAGTTTCCTTCACCCTTGCTAAGAATTTTACGCAAGCGCATGCAGCTCGGAACTCCAACTCTCCGGAATGCCCAGCCTTGTTTTTTGTTTTTATATTGTCTCGGGCAGCTTGCCTTCCATGCACCAGCTTCATCGCGATGAACTCGTTATTCTTGTTGTTCGCAACAAAAACAATGTTGGGAAACCTAGCCTGCGTTTTGAGCGTTGGCCGTCGTTTCCTTCGTGTCCTACTTACAAAATCTGCAAAGAAACACATCCCCGAAACCAGACCAGCCTCGTCCCCAAACGTTAGTATCATGCATGCGTAGACAAGACAAGACAACACACCGCGACGTTCCACTCGAAAGACCCCGTCGCTCTAGCTGGTCCCACTGCTCCTCCGTGAAGCGGGATCGATCGAGGGTCTCGCTCCTGTCGAACCGACCCGCGACGTTCACCAGGAGTGGGACGTCGTCAAAAGCCTCCCCGTACCGTAACACGGCCGCAACGCCTGCGATTCCATTCAAACCGAGAAAAACAATGCAAAAACTTCAAGTACAACACCCCCACAAAAACTCGAAGCTGATAACGAGCAGTTTGCTGTAAAGCGAAATCGAAACATGGTGAGCTAACAGGAATTCCATCCGTGCCTTGTTATTAGCCGGGACGAACCCCTTCCAACACGCGGCCGAGACTATCTGCCTCACCCTTCGCATGGTCCAACACGCTGTCTACGTTCCACCCAAGCTCCCTTAGCCGAAGCACAACCGCTCGCAAGTCGCCCCGTTCTCTCTGGGAAACCATTGTCACACACGTACACACACATGGGCGTTGGGAGATGACAGTAGAACAGCGTCGCTCAACTTGCCGGCACGGCTCCATTTCTCAAACGCTAACGCTGAGTCTTTTGTTGATGCGGGTAAAGGGTGGGGGCGGGGATCGTGCGTTGAAGCGCATGGTAAGACACCTCGAAACAGAGCAGCAGCCGCATCGTGTTGTACTACTTTCAAAAACAGGGCTCGAGCAAGCGGTAGCGGGCTGGAGTGGCGGGCAGACCGTCATGAGGTTGCTCCCGAAAAGACGGCCACGTGCTTGCTTGAGACCCACACAATCACGCCAAACGACTTTTCGATATCTTCACACGACCAACGCGTTCATGGCGCAGTGCCATTGCTTCGTTGACCACTTACATCGTAGCCGGCGTACCTCCAGTCTCCCCCGGACTGCCCGCACCCGGCAAAGTCGAATCTACGAAGGAGAAAGACAAGAGGCGGGTAGAGTATGTCAGTACAATATTTCTTCAATACAAGGACTCGCACGCTGGGGGCCTCTATCTAGATGATGTCATCCGAAATACCCAGGATATCCATATTAATCAGAGTTGCTGCGAACATGCGGCTCTTCGTCGAATCTGAGGAGTTATCCCCTTCCCTCCCCTCGCTCCAACCACGCCCTTTGGCAAGGAGTTAGTCGGTATGCCATACCGCGCGCTTCTTCGTGGTCATCATGACGGGGGGTAGCAGAGTTAGAATAGAAGCGGTGACATGCAGCAAATCGTTGTGTCCGCTACATATTTGTTGTTTGTACCTTATTTTGGGGGTAGTTGGCTTGTGACTACGGAAGGCGTCCGCGTCAGTTGGATCCGTTCGGACATTCGAAGGTACTGAGCGGAGGCCGGAACGGTTTTTTATGTGAAGACAACAACAACAACAACAACAACAACAACAACAACAGCTTATCTGTTGTGTCTGCCTGGGTCAGTTGGTGGTTTGGTGCACCACGTATGCATAGTTAAAGACCAGGATACATGCATTGAATAGATAGTCTAGGGGTACATAACCTACCTGTGCTGCTATATGCATGCCACAAATATCTGTCTCTCTACGACGCTTCTTGCCTGAAGGTATTCTCGGAGAGCTCTCGGCTAACGAATACGGGAACCGTGCCTTCGCAGCTCAAGCAGTTCCCGTGGCAGAGAATCCATACCCACTTGGAGCCCTCTCGTTTAACCGTTAGGATGCCGTTCAGATCGTAACGTTCTTCCTCGTTCCTGATGACCAACTGCGAGCTCCCTAGTACCGTGGCGGCTTCTGCTCCTCCCGCCGGTTGCAGGGCTTCGTTGCTCGTAGCCGACAGTTGTTGAAATGCCCGATGAACGACTGGGATTGTCAAACCCACCTGGGATGGTATCGGCTGTGGGCATAGGCGTTATCAGTCCATGAGTAGCGGTATTGCTGCTGTATGATGTAGGCAGGTACCATCCATAGAGCGATAATCGGGCAGGAGCCCCGAGGATTGTGTTGGCGTCGTCAACCGGACGGTCTTTGCTGTTGCGCCGCATTTACGTAGATCGTTCTTGCCGGTTGATGGATAGAGTCAGCCAAGGGCCGCGTGAGCCCCCTGCCTCTCTTCCAGCGATCAACGAGAGAAGCCCGGAATCTACATAGTGGGTCCCAACAACTGCTGCTTCTCGAAGAAAGTCGGCTCCGCCCTGTAGTGTCGCGATCACATTGTGCACGCCTACCAATGTACAGCAGTTTGCACCAGATTCGAGTCCGTTCGTCGTTTGTACACGACAAGTATGAATACATACTCGTTCCGCCTGTGATGAATCAGTACCACCAATAATATATGGGGCAGTGTACCTCCAATGGAGTCATCGCCGTGTTATTTTACTCACCGTACAAGAAATTCAGCTGGGTCCAATAAAGGAAACAAAACTTAAACGATACCTCAACAGCGCAGACAAAAGTGGTCCTAAGAACAGATACCATATGTTGCAGATATATCTTTTGGCATTCGCTTATCATTTGATTAGCACAGCTTTTAAACCGAAAGCGTTGCGACGTGGACTGAAACTTTTGCGTACCGATGCACCAGACGGAGCAATGCAGATGAGTGTTCCGCTAATAATCTCACCTCCGGTATCAGGAGCAGCCTCGAACAGCGCGCAAAATAGTAGGCGGTTTAGTGTCACGTGATGCATCGCGACAGTTCTCTCTTTTCCGTCAAACACCTTTTTTTGTGGTTTGAAGGTGAAATCCTTGTTGCCTCGCCTATTTAGTGGCCTCGCGTCCGACATGTGTGATGTTGATAACTTACTAACTTCAACGACAACCACGGACGTTGTACATGAGGATGCATCACTCTGCACCTAAATACCTCACGGACGATCTAGAGAATCAGAGCCACAGTCGGCGCACGTCCATCAAACGACGCGCGCCACGGTCAAACGTGTTTGGGCGTTTGAACTCTCAAGTTAGCTGTCCAGGCTACCGACATGGCGTTTCACTGCTGCGACTTATCGAAAATGCATCGATGACCAACTTGGGCTGCACCCGTGTGGTGTGCTGATGTATGCGCTCAAATGGGTCAGTTTCGAGAGGTGCAGAAGCCATCCAAAAGAGCGGTGTGCTTGTGTGGTGGTATGGTTGGTATCCTGATTATCACACCGATTCCGTGGACAGGATACAAAGAACGTCGACGTGGCATAAAACACACTCGTGGTTGTGAAAAAAGAACAAAATAGGCACATAATCCACAGGCCCGGCCCATGCTCGCCGCCGCCTCGACTCCCCCCTACCGCACCGGCATGAAAACCAAGGTCAACAGCACCAAATACGCAACAGCAAAAGGACGACAGTATGTAGAGAACGACGGCAAGAAATACCTAGGCGATCTGTAATAAACACATGTGCATTGGCCCCCATTCTCTCCCTTTTCGAGACGGCCTACTTCCACGGCTCGGGCAACCGCAAGCATGCCAAGGCCAACGCAAACAAACGTTTTCACGGTTTTTTTCGCAACAAAATTACGTCTCCTACGACGACCTTCTCTACTGTCATTAAAACGCCTTACACGGCCCGCCCTACTTAACCCAACCCTCCCTCCGACCACCATGACAAAAACACAAGGTCGACATAATAATTTCTAAAGCACATCAAATAAAATACGGGAGGGGGTTAGCCGACGACCTCTGCGTCTGCGACGCCTCCCTCCTCCTCCCCTTCTGCGCCGCTCGCGTCCGGCGCCCCGATGCGGTCCTCGAGCATTCCCGTCACGCGCTGCGCGAAGGCGTTGGGGTCGTCGATGCTGTAGCCCCCGGTGAGGGCGGCGATGTCGTAAAGCAGGACGGCCGTCTGCTTGGTCGAAGCCGCGTCAGGGTCGGTGGTGAAGCTGGCCTGCAGGGACTTCACGACCGGGTGCTCCGGGTTGATCTCCATGATCGCCTGGGGTGAAGGTGCCGAGGGACGCACAAACACACGGCGGCAGGCGACAGCAATGGATCAAACAAGGAATTTGGACTAAACAGACGACCGACTCATGGCAAAGGCGAGCAAGTTAGTGCCAGGGTGATTGTTGGACCCTGTGGATTTAAGTCCGCGCCCTTGTGCGTATTCTGACCTCATCCAACGACGGCACGCAAAATGGCTACCCAAATTTGTTGCACGGCCACCAACACGTCGTACAAGAAAAGTGCGCAGGCAGGAAAAATGCATTGCTAATTTGACTTAGACCCTCAATCGCAGAAGGATAGAGATGGATTTGTTGTGTAAATGCTTTTACGAAAAACACATAAACACAACAAAAAAATAGTACCTGCTGCTGGCCCGTCATGGAAGAGTCCTGCTCCCCGAAGGCAACCGCCTGGGCCTTCATGTACCGGGCCATCGTCGGCGACATGCCGTATGACGACTGCACGAGGGTTGCCGCCGATCCCACGAGGCGGTTGGACACCTCCACCTTCTGGACGCGCTTCTCGCCGAGCAGCTCCTGAAGCCACTGACGGAAGTCTGATTGGTATGGGCACACGGGTTTTGGATAGGAGGGCACAGGACCCCACACCAACGACGGAATTTGTTAAAAGACTGGGGGGTTGTAAAAGCGTATTTGAGGATGTTTCTGTTGCCATCGTCACCGCCAATATTCTTCGTAGCTCCATCAAGGCCCCTACTCTTTCACGCAACAAAAAACAAAAACTACAGTCACAAGCAAACCGACAACAGAGTCTGCGAGGAAGCTCGACCACACGCCAAGACCAACAAATATAAAAACACCACGAAGCCTAGATAAGCAAAGAGGACGCTACCATCCTTTACGTTGTGGGCGTCAGATGCACCTCTCCGCAAGTATTGACCCAACAGCCAGGGTCACTCAGGAGGAACCCCACACACGAGATTCGCCCCTATCATCGGATCACCCCGCCCCTTTTCCATCGCCGCCAATGACGTTAAAATCTGTGTCGCCACGAAAAATAGCTTCTTCACTTGCTGGGCATGACGATGGAAAAACCCAGTTTGCATGGCTGCACCAAGAGTCGAAAACTCGCGTTCCCAACAGCACAAGGTTCTGAGGCTATCGTATCAACTGGAGCGACCGACTGGGGGAATGAAAATCTCCAACCCCAACATAAACACAAGGACAACCACGGACACCAAAAACTTCATTCTACAAAAAAACAAACGGGAGCCGGGTCCTTCGACTTTGGAAAAAGTTCGGTGCCTGACGGGCAGGGTTTGGGGGGGGGAGGGGGTTGCCTCCTCGCACGAAGTACGCGACCCACAACAAGACCAGCTGACTGCACCGACACGTACGCGGTCGAACCTGCGGAGACAGGGTTCTCACCTTGAGTGTCCGTGGACTGCTCCTCCTTCTTGGCCTTCTCCTCCTCATCCCCGGAGAACTCCACGTTCTCCTTGCCCAGGTCAGTGAGCGGCTTTCCCCCGTACTCCCCGATGGACTGCACGGTCAGCTCGTCGAGGGGCTCCGTCATGAACAGGACGTCGTACCTGCGGTGAGATATGCATTTGAGGAGATGCAAACGAGTTGCGGTGTCAGGCCCTCGTTCTTATGCGCCTCTGCTAGGTCAGCCTGCGCAGGCTTGCGTGCGTGCTACCTAACGTTGAGCCGATATCAACCCTCCTGCCTTCGACTCCCGCACACGTGGACAGAGAACACACGCACACAGGGAGGGCCTTGTTCTTCTCCCCTCCTCCGAGATTCCCCCCCCAATCGCCTTTTCAGTGGCTCAATTCTTGTGAATCAATTATAGGGTAAGGGCTGGTACTGTGCTCCGGGGGATGCTAGGACACCTCCCAATTGAAGAGACAACACCGAATACAGCAGTGACAGTGGCGAAAGAGAAGGCGGCTTGCTTTCGCCATGGGGGGATCAAACCTTGCAAGACCGCAAGCGTTCGGGTGGAACCCCCCGTTGAAAAACAACAGCAAACCCTACGTATAAATATCTACGAATAATTCGTGCAGTTCCAGTACTCCATCTCACCCGAGCGAAGTTGCCTTCTCGAGGGCGGGCGACATCTGTGCCGAGGCGCGCGAGTCGGCGGTGACGTAGTAGATCGCCTTTTGGTCCTCCTGCAAGCCACGGCCAAGGACACGCACAGCAGGCGGCACAACCACAGAGGGAAACAGCGCGCGAGGGGACACTGCGTGAGCGGTGAGAGCCAGCACAAGACTGGACACAGCAGCTTCTCGGGAGGCGTCGTGACACAGCGTCTCCCGACCCAAACTGACAGCTCGTGTGACAGGTTTGCAACTTCTACGCATGCTGATCGACGCTGTTATCCTGCTGCACATCAGGATCTGTGTGCTTCCTTAGCATCGAAAGTAACACACGAACGCTAACTCTCGTAAAATTCCGAACACTGATTGAATCTACTCCCGTCCAATACTCGTTGACTGACGGACGGACCTTCATGTCTGCGATGTACTCGTCGAAGGATACGAAGTCTTCCCCGTGATTCTTGGAGAAGAAGCGGCACAACGGCGCCAGCTCGCTCTTGATGTCCTCGTCCTCCACGACTCCCACCTTCAGGTACTTTCCAAAGTTCTCCCCTGGAGACACAAGCGCAGGACCACACGAAGGCAGCATGGACAGGGGCGGGGGACGATGGTTACAGCGGTGAGCGCGGGGTCAGAGGTCTGTTCGCGTGTTAAGGGAGGACGAGCTGGTGTGTGCAAATCGCGCAAGAGAAAAAAACAGCGTGGGCGGCATCCTGGGGGTGTCGATTGATCGTGCGATAAGCACAGCACGGCTGACAGGGACAACACACAAGGCATCGGCTAGCGAAAGGACAAGCAGTGGGATCTGGCGTCATGGGATCCTTCTCATCCAATGCGACACAAAACCTTCGACGGATGCACTACATGGATTGGCGGAAGACTACACACCGGGCACAACTGGCGAAGTAAGAACAAACTCAGAAGAGATTGGCGGGGTACATATGGATGAGAAAAGAGAGCTCGATCGGAGTCAACCGAACACCCTCTGGCTTGGCGGGGCCGGCTCTTTCGAGGTGTAGACATGGTCGGTCCTGTTTGGGGAAAGAAGACTTTCTCGTCACATCGAGCTCTCTGATTGGTTCGGTAATGCACCTAAGGTTCTCTGCAAAGGGCACAGGTACAGGTTGAGGACAAACAACAGACCTTTACACAACACACATGACCGCATACTCACAGAAAACCTTGTACTTCTCCTTGTCGTCCGCGAGCTTCTTGAACATGTCCAGAGACTTGCGAACCAGGCGCTTGCTGATCACGCTCAGCATCTTGGAGCGCTGGAGGATCTCACGGCCGACGTTGAGCGGCAGGTCTTCGGAGTCCACCTACCATCGGAGTAGGAACAGCGCAAAATACGGTAGAACCCCCCCCCCCCACGCACACCGCAAACAAAAGGGGATTGGGTGCAGATATCAAGGTGAAGTACGCGTGAGATGCGACCAAAGACATCGAATTTGGGACCCATGGGTACCCACCGTGTAGTGAGGCAAAGACGACAATGTCAGCAGTCGCCGGACGAAACAAGCTGACCGGACCCCTAATTTCACCCAGCAATAAAATGCTCACCGCCGCTCTTACTGCGGTAGGCTACTCAATTCCAAACTAAGCTTGGCCCCCGATTCTTCGGCGCAACCTCATCCACAGCGATCGCTGCACATGTACGTGCCACTCGTGGACGCGTATCCCTGAGGATACCCTGTTTGCACCCCTTCACGGTTGCACATGTAGCACAGGACTGGCTACGCGAAGATATTACGTTTATCTAGGAAAGAGAGAGGCAACGGTTACGTAGACATTAACCATGGCCCCCCAATTTCCATACTTCATCTAATACGCTTGCTTACAAAATCTGTTAGGCTACTGCAGCAAATCTCCAAGACAGTACACACAACACCAATTCGTTCCCGTCTTTCACACAATAAAAAAACACGTGGACTAGTGCTTGCTGCAGTGTATATGCGAGATGCACGGGTCGCGCTATGAAAGCCAGACCGATCCAGCATTGTTGACATGCATATGCATGTGCCAATGTGTGGCGCTGTGCTGGCGGCGAGCTCGCGCCCGCAGAGAGGGCGGAGGGGAGAGACAGGACCAGCACACACGGACACGCCCTTGACATCGATCGTGGAAGGAGCGGCCGGTCCATGAACAATGCAAGTGGTGCTGGCACTCGGCCGATTCACCTTGTGCGGAAAAGT